CACCTCTGCACCAAACTCACCTCTGCACCAAACACACCTCTGCACCAAAACTCACCTCTGCACCAAACACACCTCTGCACCAAACGCACATCTGCACCAAAACTCACCTCTGCATCAAACTCACATCTGCACCAAAACTCACCTCTGCACCAAACTCACCTCTGCACCAAAACTCACCTCTGTACCAAACACACCTCTGCACCAAACACACCTCTGCACCAAACACACCTCTGCACCAAAACTCACCTCTGCACCAAACACACCTCTGCACCAAAACTCACCTCTGCACCAAACACACCTCTGCACCAAACACACCTCTGCACCAAAACTCACCTCTGCACCAAACACACCTCTGCACCAAACACACCTCTGCACCAAAACTCACCTCTGCACCAAACACACCTCTGCACCAAACACACCTCTGCACCAAAACTCACCTCTGTACCAAACACACCTCTGCACCAAAACTCACCTCTGCACCAAACACACCTCTGCACCAAACGCACCTCTGCACCAAAACTCACCTCTGTACCAAACACACCTCTGCACCAAAACTCACCTCTGCACCAAACACACCTCTGCACCAAACGCACCTCTGCACCAAACACACCTCTGCACCAAACGCACATCTGCACCAAAACTCACCTCTGCATCAAACACACCTCTGCACCAAAACTCACCTCTGCATCAAACACACCTCTGCACCAAAACTCACCTCTGTACCAAACACACCTCTGCACCAAACACACCTCTGCACCAAACTCACCTCTGCACCAAAACTCACCTCTGCATGTTTATAGATAACAATGAGTACAGTGTCAGAAACCACATGATCAAGTCATGTTAGATTACACAGTTTGAGACGTGTGATAGTGTGTGATAGTTTAAGCATTCAGTTAGCATGATGCTATTTGGCATGTTAGCCTTAAATTTAGCGTGGTGTGAGGTACAGGCCACACTTGCCTCAGAGCTTGTGGAGTTGTTCAATAATCTTTCATAGACTCGATTATGTGATTTCTGACACTGACACACTGTAATCTGGAAACATGGACTAAAATTCAGGCTTCACGATGGATGATACTGTTTTTGGCTACGCAGCGTACTTAAGTCCTTTTCTGTAGGGAAGAACTGGGTCAAGATTTGACTCAGATGCAATAAAAGGCCACTGTTATCACTCAGCTGGCAGTGGATTCATTAACTCCATGGACAGTGTGGATCTGAGACAGCAGGGATTTGACACCACACTCCAGGGTGTGGTAGATATTCTCAGGAATCTGTTAGCTTAGTGTTTCATGCATAGTTGCAATACCTTAACCCTTTCATGTCCATGTGTGAAATGTTACATTTCCTTTGATCCGTGTCCTCTGAGCACAAATCTGCTCCAACTATATCACTACAAAGCGAGTTATGACTTAATTCATTACAATAAAGTCTTTTGTTCATGCTGCCGATTTCTATTAACAAGACAGGAAATTCAAATTTGTGAATAATGTATGAAAAATTGTGCAATCACAAAATCAAGTGAGTACGGTTAGGTGTTCATCTAAAATATAATTTTGTAATAATATTAAATAATAATTATACAAAATCATAAATTTAGATCATTTAGAACGAGTTCTGTGACTTTTATCACACTTTTCATACCAAATTTAGTTGCAGGCAGGTTTTGTAGCTTAGTTTCAGTACTTAACGTGACACAGCACTGCAAAAAATGGCATCTTGTGAAGTGAAATGATCTTAAATCTAGTCAATATATCTAATATTTCCCATTGTGAGATGGTTGTGCACTAATAAGATTATCTATCTTATTTCTAGACACTTTTTACTTGTTTTAAATAATTTTATTAAGTAAAATGATCTCACATCTGGACACTCCACACCTGGACACTTTATTTCAGTACCAATATATGCACATATTTATTCAGCATTGTCCTTATATGCTGTTATTATACTGCCTTTTTCATCTCAGGTTATAGATCTTATTGCAGATTCTTGTATATTTCTATTTGTATATATGCCTGCAGATGAGTTTTTTTGGTATTTATTCTTCTTTTTATATTTTTCACCCTTATTATTATCACTATCCTGTGTTGTGTGACTGATACCAGCTGCTAAATTTCCTTCGGGATCAATAAAATATCTATCTATCTATCTATCTATCTATCTATCTATCTATCTATCTATCTATCACTATACTGGCAGATACTTTTGCTGGTTTCAAGTACATTTAAACAAGCAAAAATATGTGCCAACGTAGTGAGATAATTTTACTTAATAAAATGACCTAAAACAAGTCAAAGAATGTCTAGAAATAAGGTAAATAATCTTAAATTAAGCTTAAATCAATCTCAACCGGGGAAATATTAGATTTATTGACTATATTTCAGATAATTGTACTTGACAAGACACCATTTCTTGCAGCGAGTGAATGTAAAGAAACACAAAACACAATCTTTCCATCCAAAACATTTATTTACACAGAAGTCAAACAGCGCGGTTTAGACTGGAAAGCTGGAATCAGTAACATTTCAGTGTCTATGAGCATAAAAACACAAAAAAGTGACACAAGCAGCGTTCGGCACGGCTCAAAGTGGACGACAGTTCACTAATTTACACATTCTTCCAATACGCCTTGTATATGAATCTTAAGCTGACCCACAGGAGGTGGCGCAGATGTAACACGACACTGGCTGTATTCTGGTTTGGAGAAGGAAGTTGAGACGACTTAAACCACAGGCATTAAAAATAACATTTCAAATTAGAAAAATGAAAAGCTACATCAAAATGTACAAACTCTACATATAAAATATACAGTAAACTATGAAGAACTGATGCTACATCTATTTTTGACAAAAAAAGTAGACGAATCCAGTTTATCCAACTAAATATTCAGCTTTTAAAGACAAAGACACAACTTAAGTAGTCAGAACCTCATTAGAGAGAAACTCTTAAATATCGCTCTAATAATATAACAAATCTGATGATGAAATAAATTCACACCAGATGGACTCAAAACAAATACAGTCCAGAATAAAGGCAAACAGTGGTCAGGGCTGCTGACAGACCATTAACAGACTATACAACATGTAAAATGTACACAAGATGAATTTGCCTTTAAAAAAACTAAAAGAAGTGATGAACAAACTGAGTTTTTCTGTTCGTCACTGTGATGATCTGTTTTCTGACGCTGTTGTTCTGCAGTTGCAGCAGTAAAAATGTTCTCGTGCTGATATATTACAGCGCTCACTGTGCTCAGCGTGTCCAGACCCTCATATCTGTCCTTCTGGTAACTTCAGAAAGGGCCGCTCAGGGCGTGACGGCACGGCAGAGTTAATAAATCACTCATTTCCTCATGTAGCTGATGAGTTTTTAATCTTTTAAAGCACAGACTCGGCCTCAGCTTCCGCTTCTTAACAGCCGGGTTGTTTTTCTGCATAAGAGCTTTCATTAAAGCGATACTTCAGAATTTTTCATTCTAATCTCTGTCTGCTGCATCTGCATCACTCTATCGATTACCATGGACAATAATTATCTCCTTAGAAAAGAACAGAAAACCCATTATCTCAACATTTCTATAGGATCACTCTCATAAAGTGTCATAAGCATCACACACATAAACAGTAGATCAGTTGGAGCTCTATATGATTAACTGAAAAGGTTCATTTCATTTTTCTATTTTACAGATTTTTTTAATCCTTTAACCAAATTCCTATTACCACAATGTTTCTCATTACCAATATTTATCATTTTTTTGCTTTATTAATTACAAAAACTGAGTTTGTATTACTTTAACTGTAACGTAATGTAATGTTCTCCTACTACAAGGAACCCGAAAGAACCAAAGGTTTGTGGCACAAGTAAAAAGATTTGCTGACATTGCTGTAATGAGCTAAAATTGCAAAATACTATATTTTATATACATTTTAATATTTATCTTTAAAATACTTGGTCCAACAACAGTATACAGACTGTGAAAAACATCTAAAAATCAATGTAAAATTAAATTATTCTGGTTTATTCATATTCAACTACACACTTAAAAATGGTTCTCTGAGGGTTCTCTAAGGGTTCTTTAGTAAATAAAATGGTTCTATATATACCCAATGAACACGCAAATAACATTTTGCATGATTAAATGGTTCTTTGCATCATGAAAGTGTTCTTCAGAACATGCTGTAGATGGTTCTATATAGAACCTTTTTGAGAAAGGGTTCTATATAGCACCCAAAAGGGTTCTTCTATTGTTACAAGTATGACATCGTAACAATAGAAGAACACTTTTGGGTGCTATATAGAACCCTTTCTCAAAAAGGTTCTATATAGAGCCATCAACAGCGCGATCTCCATCAATCTGAAGAACCGTTTCATAATGCAAAGGGTTCTTTGAGTGTTCATGGTTCTAGTTTGTGAACCATATGAGTGTTAGGATGAAGCAGGCCTGAGAATATTACACCAAAACTGTTCTAATGATCATCATTTTTGCTTTTTTTTTATTTCTGGTATCCATGGCGATCCAGAGCGAAAACTCTGCCTACGCCGCTACACTGGTAACGACTTACCGCAAATCCTTCCCTCTGGAAAACCAGTTCATCACTGAACAAACAAATTCTACAGATTTACAGCTTCATTCACCTACAGCAGACTGAAGAACTCAGTTTAAAGTATAAAAATAAATGTTTATGGAATTCAGCAACTGACCATTGACTTTATAATTGTTATAATTGTCCATGTTTTCTGTTCTTTTTTTAAGCACAGGAAAACTGTTTTTTAAATTTCAGTCCATGGTAATCGACCGTAGGCCACAGATGTGTCAGACAGGGACTCACTGACGAACCCCGGAGAACTCCTTTAAGATCTACTGCAGCATTTCCCCATCCAGTTCAGTGACAGAGCCTCAGATGCTCCGCAGATCAAAGGAGGAGCAGTAAGAATGTGGAGTGGACGGTCTTTGGTTGCCATGGTGACCTCTCTCCCTCTCGCTGACCTTCCGCTTTCTTTTCCCATGTTGATCCAGCCCGTGTGAGCTGGCCGGAGGAGGACCACCGCCCCCTCCCCCCACATTCCACACACTCCACATTCCTCACACACTGGCCATCTAGAGAGAGAAGAGAGCGAGAGGGAAAGAGGTGAACATATAGAATCTAAAACACTTACATTTTAGATGCAGTACTTACATAACGGTTTAGCGGCCTTTCTTTCAAATTTCCAAATTTCCAAAATTCAAAATTTCCAGAATGTTCCAAATTTTCATTTTGCATTAACATTTTGTTTTCCAGAGAGAAAGTAGTGAACATACAGAATCTAAAATGCTAACATTTTAGATAAAGTATGTACAGAAAAGATTTATATGTATTCTAGTTCTCCTTCTTTCAAATTTCCAAATTCCTAAAATTTGAAAGAAGGAATTTAAATTTTAAAATCTTCAAAATTTTCATTTAGCTCACATTCACTTTTCCATCCACACAGTACGAAATATATACAAAAGAAAATACCACAAGTAGCTGAATTTGTACTTGAGATTAGAAAAGCTATTAGGCATTTATTCAAAATTAATAATATTTAATAATAATGCTACATCTTTATTTATATAGTGCTAGATTTTAGCTACAAAACCTTAAAGTGCTTTAGACAGGAATATCAGTAAAACACTGGAAAGATAAAACACTGTAACGCTGTAAATGAAAAGCCAACATACTTCTAGACATATACTAGTCCAAACAAATATGTTTTTAACTTCTCTGGAGTTTAGGAGCTCAGTACGAAAATGATCTTCCCCCAACTGAGCTGTAAGAGATCCTGGGAGTTTGCATTAAGAGCTTTAAACGTCATAAGCAAGATTCATGTGAAACTTAATTAGAAGCCAATTAAACTGAATAAGAGCAGAGTAATACGCTCGAACTCTCTCCTGATGACCACACGGGCTGCTGAACCCTTGTCTTGAAGATTAGCATGTGTCTTATTTTGAATGTTTCTCAAGAGATAAGACGCATTATTAGAGACATCACTGATAAAATGGGACGCAAATGATAATCTAGTGTTACACCGAGATCGTTACTGCTTTTGGTTACACTCTGAAACTGTTAAGATCAAGGATAAAATCTGCAATCCTACTTCGTGCAGACTTAAGATCCAACGGTTATGTAGTAACTTTCTGTGAGGAAGCTTTTAGAGGTGGATGTCTGGTTCCTATCACCACCACTGTGAATAGTTCTGACTCTGTAAATTTTAAAGTTTTTCTAAAACAGATCGTCTCGGTAAATCGAGAAAAAATTCAAGATAAATCGAAATCATTTATCAATAAATCGGCTCTTTTTTTTGCATTATTTAGCATTTTCCATTTTCAAACTTTGCCAAAACATGGTGGTCCGAAAACCCACTTGAATCTTAACGATTAAATTACACTGAAATTTTGAAAGATTTTAATTCATCTTTACGTTTGAATTTTCGTGGATGAACCTTTATTTTGGTAAAGTGCTTCAGTTAGTAGGGAAGAAGGACAAGCAGCTGCTGAAAAATGACTGGTAGCTATTTAAAAAGGCTTAAACAATAAAAAACAATGGACTGGAACTGTAAACCTTTTTCTGTAGTTTTTTAGTGAAAAGACTTGCTTTTTTGAGAATACCTGAGAATGGAACTTGTGGGTTTTGTACGAGGTGCTTTGGAAGTTTAATGCAACTCCCTGATGTTTGTAAAATAAGAATGAATCTAAAGGATGATTCTAGACGCTCTTGTTCAAACTAAACTAGCTTATTTTCCACATAAGTTTTCCTGCGTAGTACAGATTTTATATTTTACTCTGCGTAGTCCACCCTTGTGTACGAGTTATCTCAGAAGAGAGAGCGCGAGCGCGAGCGCGTTGGGTAACCGGTGAAAAGTTCACTGCTGAAATCCGTCACATTTCTATGAAAAGCCCCACATGACTCGCCACCTTCCCCTCAGCTGGGGAAAATATTTATGGTATTTTAAGGCCTGATCTGAGGTCAGCAGCACTCTAAACATTTTCCACTAACTGCCCTCATTTACCTGCCGGAGAGAGGAGGAGATGTTCTAGACGTAAGTTGATATGTAAAGGCTAAAAGTGCAGTTACCCTTATTTAGATATCAGAATCATATCAGTGTCAGCAGATAACTGATAAAAACATAACTGACGTTTAGATTTGGGTGATGCTTCCAGCTGATATTTGATGATGTGCTTGCTGAACTCTGGATAAGCAGAATGTTTAGGTGACACTGGATTACTGCATTTCTCTGTAGTGATAATCTCTGGAGTGATAATCCAGGTACATTTAGTACCAAATTCTACACCGTATAAATGTTTATGTATCGACTTCAGCAGATATGTATATGATAATCATCGAATATGGCATAAGCCCGAATTTCAACACTGCTGCATCCCTAATCCACATGATATTCATATACGGACCACTCTACTGAATTAGCTCAAACTGCGCTGCCACAGTAAACAACATTTAAAAACAATATTCAGACCTTAGATACTCTTATAGATTAGCACGTATCTTATTTTAAATGTTTCTCGAGAAATAAGACGCAGTATTAGAGATGTTACTGATAATGTGGGACGCAAATAATAATCTAGTGTTACACCAACGTCTTTAACTATTGCTTTTGGTTACGCTCCGAAACTATTAAGATCAAGGATGAAATCTGCGATCTTATTTCAAGCAGACTTAAGATCCAACAGTTAAGTAATACGTTTCTGTGAGGGAGCTTTTAGAGGTGGACGTCTGGTTCCTATCACCACCACTGTGAACAATGCTGTTGTGATCTATTTAAACTCACGGCATTAACAGAGATAGTAATAAACTAAATATATACACTATTATATATATACTGTTGGGAGGTGTCTGTCCCAAACACTAAGCCGTAAATTTACACTTGTGAAAAGAATACTTACTGTTTAAAATAATTTCCTGATCTTTTAAAGTTGAAATATTTAGATCTTTATTTAGATCTAGAGTTTAATATTTAAATGAAAACAACTTGATTCCAAAACGCTGTCCCACGTTTTCATGTCACGCCTGAAACACAGAGTTTTAGTATAAAGGCGGAGCCTTATTTCAGCCACGCCCCTGCATTTTAGAGCAGGAGGTGAGGCTGCATCCCTGTCCCTCACGGCCACAGTGAGCAGTTAGATTCCACTGTTTTGAAGTAAATGTGACCCAAAGTCTGAAAATCAGTGTGAAACAATCAGAAATGTCACATATTTTTTAAAATTAAGTATTTTTTGTGTTTTAATCAAAAACATGCTTATTTTATGTGTGTACAGATGTTCAAAACTGTGTTTGCTACACAAAAAGACAGTAATGGGTTCTTTAGTAAAGAAAATGGTTCTCTATAGAACCATGAACACTCAAAGAAGCCTCTGCATGATTAAAGGGTTCTTTGCATTGTGTAAGTGTTCTTCAGATTGATGGAGAATGTGCTGTATATGGTTCTGTATAGAACCTTGTGGAAAAGAGTTCTATATAGCACCAAAAAGGGTTCTGCTATTTTTACAATCTTGACATCGTCACAATAGAAGAACCCTTTTTGGTGCTATATAGAACTCTTTTCGAAAAGGTTCTGTACAGAATCATATACAACACATTCCCCAACAATCTGATGCAAAAAGGGTAAATCTGATGCCCTTTAATCATGTAAAGAGTTCTTTGAGTGTTCATGGTTCTATATAGAACCACTTTCTTTACTAAAGAACCCTTGAAGAAGAGTGTAGCTGACTGCTGTCATGTTATTCGTGTAGAAGCCCACAATTCATCACATCTACTGCTACGCTAAGTGTTAGCATTAGCATTAGCTCATTAGATCATTCAAGGCAGCCTGTGTTACTCAAAGACCAAAAAGTGACCAAAAGTGATGATGATGATGATGATGATGATTTTCCTTTGGCTCTTTTTGATTATAGACATGTTTAAAAAATGTAAAAAACTCTGTGAGCTGCTAAATTTTTTAGCAAGCCTTTAGCATTGCTAGCACCAGTGCAGCAGTTTACCATGATACATGAACATCGGCTTTCCTGACCAAATTTTCCCTCATTAACTCCTACAAATACTCAAATATCTGAATTAGTCAGGAGGGACATCCCTAAAGTCCAATAAAGCGAAGTAAATAAAGCACACGGTGTTAAAGAATCTTATCATTTTGGCCTTTTATGGCTAAAATTACTCAAAATGAAACGTCATTTAAACATTTTAGCAATTATTGTTGTTCTTCTTGTGTATGTTCCCTTATACAAAGAGGACAGTGGTCCACTGTCGGCCCGCTTATGGCAAAGCTGGTGGTCCACTGGTGTTTTGCTCAGCGTTTTCGGAGCAGCCCACCAGCGGTTAAGTGGAGTATTAGACAGAATTCCACTTACCGTCGCTCATTTTCCACTCACAGTCTAATTTACTGATTTTCTTTAGTTATACTTTGTAAATTAGTTCAGTAAATAATTTTAATCCAGCACAGTGTCAGTATTCTATAGAATCATTTTATATCAGGTCTAGTCATTATTTTTTTCTCTCAGTTGTTTGGCAGTTTATTTTCTAAAATAAAAGTCTCTGTTCATTTAAAATCTGTTTGAGGAGATTAAAAACTAGTTAGAGTCTGTATGCAGGACAGTAATCTGGGTGGCCCGAGAGTGGACCAGCAGTGGCAAATAGTCAGCGGGGCGCCGATCTTTTCAAACCAGCGGACTGATATATGCTTGCTGTCTGGGTTACTCCTATAAAGTGACCATGGGTGTGAAAAAGGCACAAAAAATAAGTACTTATCTTAAATTTTATTGATCCTACTTATTGTTTTGCAATAACTTCATGTTCTACTGTGGTAACAGTGCTGTTGTGGTGGTGTTGTGTTTTGCTGATTCAGCAGCAGACAGCTGTAACTACAGTGTGTGAGTGGCACCAGCGGGAAGCGTTTAAGCTCTTAAATGAGGATTCATTAGCTGAGCTGTCAGGCCTGGATGAGCCCAAGGCTATAATAAACTCACAGAAGCTTCGAGAAGAGGCTCCCTCCACTAATGCTAATGCAGAGCCGTGTTATTATCTGCCCGCATGTAAACAGAGTTCAGGCTGTTTTTGCAAAAGCCGCAGG